AGTCCTTGACCTCCAATAGGGACATTTCTTGACAAGGGGTCATTCGTCCAGTATTCGATAAACAACATTGGTTACAACTTTAAGGTGACGACGGCCCAGACCGTTCAATACGGGATATGACCTCCATGAGCGGCAATGCATCTACGAATGCGGCGTCGAACTGAGCAGACAAGTGTCCTCACATCGACTGCAGGTATCCGATTCCATTCCTCACGGAGGGCAGCGATCAACGCTTGTCTCGTGAAGGGAGGATGTTGACGTTTCCGAAGACGACGCCCCAGCTGGTCCCAGAGATGTTCTGTGGGTGACAGATCTGGTAATCGAGCTGGCCACGACAGGGCAGTCACATTGTTGGCGTTGAGGAAGTCTCTAGTAATACGGGCTTTATGGGGTGTGGCGTTATCTTGTTGGAACACCGTCCGTTGTTGACGCTGGATGAAAGGAAGAACCACTGGCCGTAAGATATTGTCAATGTAGCGTTGTGCTGTCAGATTGCCTTTGATGATGACAAGTTCCGTCTTCTCGTCCCCGCAAATGCCGCCCCAGACCATCACACTTCCGCCCCCGTAAGGTTCCACCTCCTGGACACAACAAGGAGCCGTACGTTCACCACGTCGTCGATAAACTCGCGTCCGCCCATAAGGTTTGAAGAGTTGGAACCTGCTCTCGTCACTAAACAGCACTCGCCGCCATTCTCTTTGTTGCCCTCGCTGAGTTTACCTGCACCACGTCAATCTGGCACGTCGATGTTGACGGGTCAAGGTCATGCCCTTGAAATGGCGATAAGCCCGGAGACCATAATGTCGTAGTCGTCTGGTCACTGTTTGTCTGTTGACCGGATGTCCTATGCTGTTGGCAGCTGATGCCGTCACAGTAAGAAATCTGTTCCTCAGATGAAGTACCCGTAAAAAGCGGTCCTTTGGTCTGCCACTCCGTGGTCTGTTTGCGGTTCCGCCAGTCTGTCGGAGACATGCGACCAGTCTGGTAACGGTCATCTTGGAGCAGTTCATGTTAATGGCAACCACTCTCTGCGTCGCTCCCATCTGCAGCATACCTATGGCTCTCTCCCTCTGGACAGCGGTCAGTCTTGGCATGTTCGTTGGCGTTAATCATCGCAACCAATGATAGGGAACAGATCCGTGCGTAATTTATACCCGGAAATTGCACGATAATTTGGGAAAGAATGTTTAAAAAAATTGCTGACAAACACCAAAATCTCCTAAAATCCACACAGAACGTGCAAAGAACGACAGAGAACATGAAGGCTGTATTCGTGAGATGTGTTCTTTACTGTTTTTGAACAGGTTGGCATCTTTGTTTCAAAGTGGCCCTCAGTTTATGATTTGGAATTTCTTTCCTTTTAATTCCTTCCCCTGGGACTTTACCAAATCCCTCTCCCTCGTGTAGAGAAACTTAGCTATGACAGATCTATGCTTCACATCTCCTGACTGGCCTGGCGATCTACGAGCACCTATTCTGTGTACACTTTTAAAATGTAGTGTGTCAGTGCAACCAAGTTTAAGCTCTCTTTTGATAAAATCCCTTAGTATACACTCAGTATCCGCCCACGTTTTATTAGAGCCCATACCACCAGTGTTTACATTTTCTGGTATATTGGTAAATATGAGGAGACGAAAAAAGCACGTCTGCACGCCGCCATCTTGATCACATGACAGGCTTTCCAGACATGTTGACGTCACGCCATCGGAGGAGATTAGTCCAGGTTCTCTGGGTACGTCATTACTCGGACCCCGTCTGGTCTGACCATGAAGCTGTATAACTGACCATGAACAATATCTATATTTGAAGCATGGGGTTGAAGAACTCGTGTGCCTATATAATTTGATACCGCAAATTTGTCATGAGCCCGAAAAGCACACGGTAAGACCAGAAGATTTTTGTCAACGTTTTTGACTTCTCTTGACATTCCATCCAAAATTTTAGCATAAAAGTCCGCCGGGTAATCCCACGGCTCGTTGCCTACCTCCATTGCGTGAATCAATCCGTTACCTATCCTCGGTCCGAAATGAGACGCGAACTCCTTACCATAATTGAACCCATCGTGGAAGGCGTCCCCCTACACTGAAGGTGGAAATCCCCCTTTAGATGTAAACTGAACTGAAGCATCGATTGAGAGGTTTGCTTTTGCCCACGCCTTGTATTCCGTGTCCCAGTTCAACCACCGTTCGCCATTGATCCCTTGCCCTGTCGTCATGTTGGCGTAGGCCGGATAATTATCCGGGTCCTTTACATCCCAACCAAAGTTATGGTAGTTCCTGGCGTGGGAGGCGATGTCGTTGTACAGTCGGGGGCCGCTAGTGTCGTCGAGCAGGCTACTGTATTTGTTGTTTCCCCCACCCCCAGATACATTCCCTGGCGTAAAACGCTGTGACTAGATCACGGTTGTCTTTTCTTATTCTGATGGTGACCTTGCCCTTCGTTCGAAGCTGTCACTGACATGCACGCAGACTTGAGTTTGTTGATGTTTACGTTTTCAATATCGGGTCGTACAGTTAACATGAATGTCTTTGGCGAGCACTCTGATTTCCCCCTTCCAAAATGGTACGGACGGGATATACATTCAGCTGATCGACCAAGGAAACCGCAAAATTTTGATTGCACAGCCGGAACTCCGGCGGTGCATGTCACCGACTGTTTGTCCGATATAGCCTGCAACCTCGGGGTATCGCGGAACTTGTCATGTACGCTAAACGGGACAAAATGCACTCACTAACCTTTATGATTATTCGTGATCTGTATATCAGATATCATTCATGCTATCTAACAATGCATATTTTACTGATAAAAGTTCATTATTTACATAAGTAGCTCCGAGTAAAAGCCGGGCCTCGCGCTCTGTTTGACAAGGGAGAGAACTCCATCGTATCGCGGTACAGAGAAAAGTTGTGTATGGAGGTCCGAATTGGACAAAAAGAGGACATAATTCTACCAACCACTTGGTATGATCATGCCAGACATCAGTGATTTGTCCAGACAAGTGCAAAGACAGCACAAGTAAAATTCTAAATGTGTTATCAGCAATAGGTATTCAATGCATTTTTACCGAAAAGTAAGAGAAAAATATTTTTATAAGTCAACAACAAAATATCAGAAATTATATTTTAAGATTGTCTAAAAAAAAAAGGATGACAATAATTTGTCACAAAATGGAATTTTTTTTAAAGTCAACAATAAATATATTAAAAGCACTCCTAGTATGCCCAAAGTATGTATTTATCTTTTGATTACTAGTGAAGAACGTATTTCTAAGTTTGGCATTATGGCCCTTATGATCTCCCAATAGATTCTGGGCACTGAGCGGGAAAAAATGTGCGGACTACGTAACTTCCGTTACCTCATTAGTCGCCATGAATATGCAGATGATCTAGTTCAGGTCGATAGAGAAAATTTACTTGGGGAACTGCGGGTTATATCGTCGGCCATTGATAGATGGGGGTAAGGCAATATTACAACAGATGCCAGAAATATGTATCAACGGATTAATAACTCCTTACTTACAGCAGACGGAACATTCCGAGGAAATTGAAATTGTTTACAAAGTGTGCACTTCCTGGTTACTGATTTGCATTAATAGACAGCCGCTAAGAGGCGTGTCCCGCGTGAACTATCGGAAATCACAAATGCCGCGGTACCATGGGGTCCGAGTATACATAGCGCGGCGCTAATTGACTTTTTAGAGTTTCTTACAGGTGTCGTGCGTACTAACAACAATGCGTTTGAATTACCCTAAGTTGAATAAATTCTTAAAATAAGATCATGAGCGTTGAAGCTGTCATGTTTGCACACACAACAGCAGGAACATGTTGTTAATGCGTATGCATAGAAATGTCAATAATGCCCATATTTGGGCATATATCAATATTCATGCGCAACCAGATTTGCAACCGGTTTCAGTTTAATCTGTCAACCAAAGAAAGTTTTTTTATGTATTTATACTTTAATACATATTTTGACATGGGTAATAAATAAAATACCACACTAATTCTCGTTAGATACCATTTTTACGAAACTCGTGACCTCCCAGCAAACAATTCTACGTTGTGACAACGTTGACTTTTCGTTGCTACAACGTTGTGATGTTACGTTGTCACAACGTAATTCTGTAGACTCCCAGATTGGTTGCTACAACGTTGTGCGTAAACCAAAATACAACCAAATCAAGACGTTGTCACAACGTCCATTTTTTACGTTGCTACAACGTTTAACCAAAACGTCGCGACAACGTACCCAGCCAACAATTCTACGTTGTTACAACGTTGTGACAACGTTTACTTTTCGTTGCTACAACGTTGTGATGTTACGTTGTCACAACGTAATTCTGTAGACTCCCAGATTGGTTGCTACAACGTTGTGCGTAAACCAAAATACAACCAAATCAAGACGTTGTCACAACGTCCATTTTTTACGTCGCGACAACGTAGGTATCGCATACTGTTTACATATGGCGACACTACAGGCATTGCAGCACGTTGTTGCAATGTCCATGTAGATTAACGCCTGTTTTATTCCTCAATACCTCCCAGGCAGCCTGAAAAGTTTGTACCAATCTAGTTAAGACGTCAGGTACCAAGAAATACATTCTGCAAACTGAATTCACTTTAACCCTATACATGAAACAGCAAGTCAATGAAATGCACTCTGTTTTGGCAGAGTTTGAAATACGGCCAAGATATAAATCTAAATGTTTTAAATTACATGTACAATTTGGTAATATATTATTCATTTTCCAAAACAATTTTCAAGGCTATGTGCAAATTGTTCACAAATGTTTCAACACAATTAAAAGATATTGGATTTTCCCACGAATTTGCAAATTAAAAACCATCAAACAATAAGCCCTGCACAAATTGAAACATTTAAATTTTCTTGGCCTTACCTCATACATTCAGCATTGAGAGCAACACTGTGACAAACAGAATAGTCTATGCATCTGATGTCCTAAGATCCATTAGGTAAACGAAATGACAATAGAATTCTGGTTGAGGTGACCTTTATTTATTTGTTAAATGACAAGTCAGAACATGGGCTGAGTTGCTGGGGAGCCTTTTCAGTCCTCAAATGAAAAGTCACAGGGATGATCTTCAACTGTATCCTCAGTCTCTCCTTATGCCTTGGTAACTGAATAAAAAATGACACAAATGTTATAAAATGGCAAGGCAAGGGACATATTTCTGACATAACAAAATAACGGTTGCATTCCCCAAAATAATGTTTTGATGTCTGATGTCAGTCTTTAAACTGTTAAAAACTGCTGAAAGTGCGAAGGCGCTGACACTAATACCATGATGCTCTTGGATCAAACATAAGCAGAAAAGCTTTTAGCACTGAATCATTGGTGTAACTTTATACCCCCGCCCTTTTAGATTGTGGGTATAATTAAATAAGAATCATCTAAATTTTAATTCTTGAAGATGTTTGTATATATTATTGAATCAGACATACCTTTCTGTCAGTGATATGTACTTTAAACAAATACGCTCCCACAATACTGTTTTCTCCACCTGAAAGAAAAACAGAAACCACAAAGTATCACATTCTTAAATAAACCAGTACTGTATAGATAAATCCCATTTACTTAGACTAATAGAGTTTGATGTAACTGATAGTAATATTGGCAAATAGTTTTATCAGTCAACAGATCAACTGTAGTTTTTCAAAAGCAGTAACTTTACCTTTCTGCTGTACACTCAAACTAGTGATTCAAGTGAATATCATGGCCAAGTTTCTAAAACCTTATTTGAAAAATATGTACATAAAGGAAAAATATATATTGCCAAATAAAATAAATAGTTCCCATATTTGAAGCAAGAATGTTGAATATGAATTATGAATTGGCCCACCAATAAGTGATAAAAGTGTTAACACTTTGGGGTATTTATCCTAATTAAAAATGATTTTTTTAATACTTAGATCTACCTTAATATTTTCCATATTAATATGCCAGGATAGTTATATATGTTCTAACATTTACAAAGATTAGAAACATGGGGTAATAAACAAAATGCAATAGCTTATACAATACCAGACGAAGTTGAAACAGCTCTAAATATTTATTGAAATTTATTTGTCACTACGTTTATTAACATAGATCTAATACAGTTAAATATCGTTAAATATAATTCTGTAGTATGGTAGCCTACGTGGCAACATATGCAGATCGAAAACCGAAAGAATATGGTTGCTATCAATTCCATTGTATTTTTCATTGGTGCACATTGGCTACACCTATCTCACTTTAATAATCAACAAACGATGACCAACTCACTGACAATATATGGTGATATTTAACTTTTGACTATCGACTAGCTTATCATCACCAGAGAGGACAATACCGCAAACACCCCGTTATAGCGCGCGACGAGAGACTCGTTTTACTTTTGCTCGTTTTCATTAGAAAGGAGTCGGACATAGATCTAGTTATCGGAAAATGATGAATTGATTCTTTTTTCGGAAATAATAAAAATACACATGATAAGCACCTTGCTATGATAAACTTTATAGACAGCAGCAACAACCTGACGGTCAACATTTAGGCTACTTCAGTCAGTGCTAATTAGGCCTTTTCGGAAACATCAAGTATGTTTCTGTCTCTTCCCGAAAATACGATTTTTTTCATAACATCATTGATCACTTTAGACTAGGGCTATAACTAGCAGCCTACAGAGAGTCGATCTGAATACTTCCATTGTTTTGATTCCCTCTTTTCGCTGTATAAGAGAAATCTACTTAACCTTTCCCATGGCCTGGATGAGCCACATTGTTGCACAAAAATCAAAGTCAGAAGATTAGTACATGTAAACTTTAAATAGTAATGATTTCAGAAATAACACAGAAGAAATGGCGATAACTGTCAGTGCGGTCAGTAGGCGATGCATAAGTTAGGCCTATTTACAAATCTACACGCTTACGAACGAAACCCGAACATAATATGACGGCCACAAAACGCCACCAGATTGAATTCTGGTCAAAAATATACCGCTTGCCCTTGGCAATTACCCTTGGTATCCATAAAATAATAATATGGAAAAAAGTCTTGGGCCCCCTTCACCTCTATCAACAAGTTCTGTGTATCATATTAATATCAACACTGACGCTCAGTGAAAATGACCGGCGAACTGCATTCTTAACCCTGCCACTTCTGAATAATACGATACATTTAGATCATTTGACGCACTGCATGCACAGAAACATATCAACAAGAGGAGACTATTTTTGAAAAATTAACTTACCTCAATCGAATTCACAGATCATCTGTCCAGTTCCAGTTGCTGCACAATCACTTGCTTGTAATATATTATGTCCAGAGTGAGTTTGAGCTAAGATGGCTGGTGACAACAAATCTTCCGCGACAATGTGACGTCATTCTGACGTCACTTCACGAGGCAACAGGCTAAACTTTTCTGCAGTCGCTCTCACGCCGCAAAAAATACGCGCCAATTGTTTTTAACTGTAATATTGCTTGTGACAACATTTAGTTCGTTAATAGATATATATGTTTAAAAAAAATAACACTAAGAGATGGTAGATCTACAAGTGGTTACCTAAACATCATTTACAAAAAGTACTGTAATGTCCAAAGCACAACGTTGTCACAACGTTAATTTGCAACGTTGTTGTAACGTTGTCACAGATATACGCAATTACGTTCTCGAAATATTAGTATTAAGAGATGAAAATTCAAATGCCGAATATATAGAAAGGTAATGCATTACTAACTTGGTTTTCTGACAAATTCATGTTGATTTTGATAAAGCAGTTCTATTCCTTCTATTCTATTCTATCGAGAAGCAAACTCAATAACGTTTCACCGACGTTTCAGAAACGTAGTTACAAAACGTTGTGTGATGTCCAATGCACAACGTTTTCACAACGTGAATGTGCAACGTTGTTATTACGTTGTGAAATAACGTTGCAGGTCGACGTTAAAATAACGTTGTTACAACGTTATATCACGACGTTACCAATCCACAACCTTTCAACAACGATGGAAGTGCGAATCATGCATGTATGGCGAAAATGTTATTGTCATTGTTTGTTGTTTAATCGCCTCTTACGACAAGCACGGGTTGCTGAAAAGTGAAAACCAAATCTAACATTATTGTAATTTCTGCCAAAATGTAGTTTATTTCGAGTAAACACCTTTGTTTTTACGCTTTTCGCGATGAAGACTATTTGACGTCGCACCAACGTATGAGAAACGTTGTCATCATAACGTTGCATGGCGCCCGATGCACAACGTTTCCACAACGTAATTTTGCTACGTTGTGATTACGTTGTCACATAACGTTGGAGTGACGTGATAATAAGGTGTTTACACAGACTTTAGTTTATTTACGAGATGGAAATCCTGATTCCGAAGATATAGGTAAATAATGAATTACTGCCTTGTTTTTGGCAGAAATTGTGTCGATTTGTATGTAAAACTTTTGTTCATACAATTTTTGTTAAGGCGACAGTTGACGTCGCACCAACGTTTCAGGAACGATGTAACAAGACGTTGGGAAATATTCGATGAACAACGTTTTCACAACGTAAAAATGCAACGTTGTTATTACGTTGTGAAACGACGTTGCACAGTGACGTAATAATAACGTTGTGACAACGTTGTATCACTACGTTACCAATTCACAACTTTACCACAACGTTGTGAAAACGTGGCTATCTATGGTATCTGACCTCGCTTTCGCTCGATCAGCTACCATAGAAAGTCCACTCGTTTCGTAAAAATGGTATCTAACGAGAATTAATGAGTGTAGTATTCTCTATATAGTATATATTTGTTTACGCCGCACTCAGCAATATACAGCATAGGTATATGAATGCCTGCCTGTAAATAAGCGGCTCTGTACCAGACAAACTAGTGATTGATATATGTATTAAATTGCCAACGTCACCGAACCACCGGGGATCTATTTAATCTCTCTTACGACAAACATATATATATAGCTGCATATAGGTTCCTGGGGACCACCCCCTCGGGCGCAGTGATGACTTTACAATACACTATAGGCTGGCCGCATGGAACTGGGTAGGAGAGTGGGTAGTCTGTCTCGCAGTCCCTGAACAATCTTTTCCCCTTTCGCCCAGCCCTTACCGTAATTGTGTGGTCCTATAAAGCAAGTCTAGATTTTCCCCAGGTTCAGGGTCTGTTATCATCTGCAGGCAAACTATTAACTCACTTCAGGGGTCGTGTTACAGAGTAAACACATCAAATTGCCATGACTGGCTGATCGAATCTCCAAACTCACTGGGGCTCCTTTTCAATATAAATGAAGTTGTCACTATCAAAATGATAATTATATTTTCAGAAATTTAGTGTTACAGTCTAGAGAGTGCATGCTGTCAACGATTCTAACCCAGAATCCCCACAGGGTGGGTATAGTGAATATTCATACAAAAACATCGCGTATGTGCGATTAAATACGAGTTTTAGAAACGTTTTTTTTTGTTCGTTTATTATTCTTTAATAACCAGGACGTTTTGACCAAATTTTCTTTATAATGTTGAGGCGGATCAGTTTTGTCTTCCTCAAGGGAGAGCCTGACTCTAAAAATAGTATCAGGGAGACTTTATTGAAAATTGTCGATTATAAAATTAAGAAAGGTAATGATTTAGTTGCTTGAATATTCTTATGCAATGCATGTTGTAAAACGCAATTACCCATGACTTACAGTCATAAAACATATTTGACCTTGACATGTATTTTCAAAATGTCAACACAATGTGACATCATGAAATTAATAATGAGTTATCCTCAAAGAGAGCTCCGCGAACGGACTATCGCTGTGAGGAGCTTGCCAAAGAATGTTTACAAATGGCGCTCAAAACAAATCTGTGGACTTTGGTCTGTGAAGAGACACTTTATAAATCTCTGTATTCATGTGTCAAGCTATGACAGATATGAATCGATTCATTGCATTAACATTCCTTAACATCACCCTTTCATAAACAAAGAACACTTCGCTTTGGCTGACCCACAAGGTTGTATTTAACGAAGTCCAGGATTGCCATGATAGATCTACCGTGAGTCACTGACAAATGAGCGATCACGTGTGTCGTTTTGAGGGTGTGACCTGCGTACTCACATCTGTGTATGTCATGTAAATTTGGCCAACAATGCAGTTTAGCGGGCACAGCTTATAGTTATAGCACTAATTGGCACTAATATAGAAGCTAATCAGGATGCGGGCTGTTGCTCTCGCTTCACTGATCTCGCTGCGATGTTGAGAATTTTCAATATCATTTGTAAACTAATTAGATCCTGCAGCGGCGCCTGTTGTAGCACGTGGCAGTTTATGAAATCATTTTCATTTTCATTATACATTTATTCCGGTTTCAACTGATCTCATGTGATGAATGGATTGTAAATGGAAACTAATAGTTAAGTAATATGCCTATTTTATTTTTTCGCTTCAGTAGTTTTCATTTTGATGCACAGGAATGCTGTTTATTAGGTGTATATTTATTGATGAAGCACTCATCAAAACATCACTGGTCCCAACACAATCTATCCTATGTGGGACTTCATTTGCAAAAAATCAGTGAGATTTGTATTGACAAGGATGGATAGGCCTACAAGTTTTTTTGAGCTGTGAAAGCGTCAAAGGGGGTTCTCCACCTTTCTAATGCATTTTCAAATGCAACCATTTTTCGTCATGATGCCAGTTGTAAGGGATGAGGCGATATGGCGCAATCGGCTCGAGGCGTCAGACGTTAAAGTCATGAGTACGCATGATTTTGTCACAGAAAAGTTTTGGGG